GCATCCAGGAACTGTTGTAGAGCATTTTGCTGGAAATGGAAATGCGGTTTTTGCGGATGAGCCCACTAGGAGCGACGAGGACGAGCCCGCGGACCAGCGAGGGGAAGTACGATGTGAAGTCTGCAGCGATGGCGCCTCCCAGAGAGTAGCCGACTATGGTGAAAACTGACCAGTGGATGGGCGAAGATTGTAGAGCGAGCAAGATCTGGCTGGTGAAGAGGCTGGAGTCATAGTTGGTTGTGTCCGGGTTAGGGCCATCCGAGTAGCCGCGACCAAAGAGGTCTGTTGATATTGTTAGTATGATTGTTTTGTAGCATAGCACGGACTGTCCACGATGCAGTTCGGTAATCGCATCTGCAGTGCACGTGGTTCACCGTTGGTAGGGCTGGCGGGCCCCTTTCCGAAACGGGTAAAGCAAGGAACCCCATGACACAGTCCTGCGCCCGGTTCAACGTGGGGCATGCAGATGTGGCGATCATAGAAGCTGCACAGAAAAACCATCTTCTCCATGTTCAGGAAGACGGTGTTTGGTTTCACGGCTTTGAAACAGCGAAGAGGAAAGTGATGGGGCAAAGACTAGCAGTGACAACAAGGAGGACCCACCAAAAAGCATGACACGTCGGCCCCTGCCAACCAGTTTGTGTGCCAGGTCAGTCAAGGCAATGCTCGGAGTCGAGATGCCATGGATGAGCAAAACCTTTTCTCCATCTCTGGGGCCGAACTCATACACGCGGATAGTACCCCATGGCGAATCGACATCGCGGGCTCCGGGCAGTGCAGCTGGATGGTATGGCAGTTCTGCAGCGTCCTCGGGAGACAGATCCGGTAGCAGGGAATCCCTGGGAGAAGGAACCGGAGGCCGTCTGGCAGACTTTGAAGATGAAGTCAAAGCCCATAGGATGGATAGTCCGCCAACAGAGGCAGCGCCTATGATGGCATAGCGCTGAACCTTGGGAAGGCGCTCGAAGCGGGACAGCTGGGTGGCGGTGATGTTTGAGACCCTCTGGATGGCAACCTCGGCGGCTTTGGGCTGGGGCTTCTCGCTGGCGAATAAGGAAAACATGGCGATACAGGAATAGATGTAGAGAGTCGGACCCTGAGGCGGTGGAAGAATAAGCTGATCGCCATGGCGCTAAGCGATCGCCGCTTCCGCTGGATGCGCCACATGGAACAGGCCCATTGTTGCCATACCGTATTGCTTTTACAGCTCGGTTCGGATGCCATCGCCTGCCGGGCATGCGGCCGGCCTTACTAGAGACGCTGCCGCATGCATATCACACGAACCTTATCGCGACGTAACGTGAAATAATGCTCCGCGTACCAAGGCCGAGTTGAATTGGCGCTGATCTCGAGGCGGCTAGCCCTGCTGCTGTGGAGTGAGCCAAGTCTGGGAGCGCGTCAGCTCAATCCTCACAGCCACAAGCTGAGCACGGAGACGCTGCGTAGTCGGCCCTGCACTTCTACACATCCTCCCTGCCCACGGCGTTGCTGACCCGGGGACAACCACTGCATTCTGGCCAACCCCACTGTCTTTTATCTTCTCGCTGACCTTGCATTTCCCTTTCCTTCTCCTCTCCGCCCCTGCGCCATCCCCCAGGAGGGTTGCATGTCTGGTGCCGTCGTTTGCGGACCCCCGAGAACATTCACGCCTACATTTTCGCATACAACAATACTACGATACTAGAGCAGTCGCCTGCCATTGAGTCTGAGACTGCAACGAAGCATCCGCGATTGGCTGGGTCCTGTAGCGCATCATGGACGACTGGACGTCGAAACAGCTCCCTGAGCGCCTTCCCTTCTCTAAGAAGCGCCTTCCCAAGAAGGTCATCTTCTCGTGCGTACAACTATGCATGCACAAGAGTAGTAGAAACTGACCAGCACAGATATATTGGCGACTACCTCATCATACTGCAAGACCACCCTCTTCGCGTCACACGACCTCCTTCCCAGCTCGTTCCGGCTAACAAAGCCATAGTGTTCTCATGATAACCTTTACCATTGTCGACAAGATCCCGCCCTTCCACCAGCACTTCGCCCTCGAAAACTACACCCTGCACTACCCATTCGCCGAACATGAGCGCGTACCCGTCCCGTGGCTATGCGTCTACGTTATCCTCGCTCCCGCTGCGGTCATCGCACTCTACACCATGGTCATCGATGGGCTCTTCTCACACCAGACGACAATGCCCGCAGGCAGGGCTGGTATCAAGCGCCTATCAGGGAGATATCGATTCAAGGATCGGTTGTGGGAGTTGAACTGTGGCATCCTTGGCCTTGGCCTGAGCATTGGCGCCGCATTCACCATCACAGGAGCCTTGAAGAACGCGATCGGCAAGCCGCGGCCGGATCTGATCAGCCGCTGCATCGTCGATGAAACCAAGCTCAACCTTGAGAAATACGCATTACAAACCATCGACATCTGCAAGCAGACTGACAACTACATCCTGCAAGATGGTTTCAAGAGCTTCCCCTCTGGGCACAGCAGCGGTATGCGACATAGCCGCACAAATAAGGCATCTACTAACGCCCTCCAGTCTCCTTCGCCGGTCTCTTCTACCTCTCCATCTACCTCGCCGGAAAGCTACACGTTCTCGATGCAAAGGGCGAGGTCTGGAGATCATTCCTCGTCATGGTTCCTGCCCTCGGAGCTGCTCTGATTACTGGAACCCGTATCATGGATGCTCGTCATCACCCATTCGACGTCCTTTCCGGCGCCCTACTCGGCATACTCGTATCATGGGGCTCCTACCGCCAATACTTCCCTCCTGTCTCCGAGACATGGCGCAAGGGACGCGCATACCCAATTCGAGCCTGGGGTCAGGCATCACGCGCACCGCCGCAGCCCACGATCATGGTGGATGAGGATGTACAACCGCTGCAGCGCATGGCTAAGCCGGCGGACGAGGAACGCGGAGAAGCGTCTGGTTACTCGTCTACAACCGTCGTGCCTGAAGGTAGCGGCGACCACACGGGCAACGTCTTCCGCCAACAGATCCACAATTCGCAACGCAGACGCCAGGAATCAGGATCGCAGTATGGTGTTGATCGCAGCGATACAGCAGCATCAAGCAACTACCGAACCGGCACAATGGGGTCCACCATGACGTCGAAAGTGCACACGTACCAGAACCAATTGCCAGCTACAAATCCCTTCGCAGTAGATGTCGCGCGCCAACGTCAAATGGATACGTACGACTACTCGTCTTCAGAAGATGACGACAACTACGAGTTGCAAGCAAGGACTGGCGTGTACAACCCAGTATCTGGGAGGTTGACAGACACTGGATACCACCCGCCAGTGGGCCTCTCCCCAGTACCCACACCACCGCCTCCAGTCAATACCATCATACCAAACCAGCAGAGGACGATGTCGCCTACGGGAGATTTGGCGGATAGCAGAGGCGCTCCACCAATGCCACCGCCACATGCTATAAGTACGGCGCCTCAGCAGATTTGACAGGAATACGAAAAGCCTTGTTTAGCAGAACGCCCGGAGTTGTTTTTCTAGACATGCGATTCAGCATATGTTAGCATGTTAGTGTATTGAATATACGTGTAATCTTCACCCAAGCATGGTCGAGACGTCGCGCAAGTGAAGTCTGTATTACAGCTACTAATTCAACAGCCACATCCCCAAGAAAGAAGCGACAGAGGAATGAGCCTATCCCCTGCGTCTTGTGCTTGGACTCTTGCCCGCAGCATTCGCATACGACGGCGTAGCACCGCTCGAGACGGCGCGCGCCATTTCATTCCTGTCAGCCGCGATGGGCTTTTCCAATTTCTTCGACTCCGTGTTCTTGGACGCGGGCGCGTTCCAGTAGTACACGACCTGGCAGAAGAGGATAGCGTTGAGGGCGAAACCAGCGATGAAGCCGTAGAGGATGAGCGGGTCGTCGACTTCCTGAAGAGTTGTGAAGATTCGAGACAGGGAACCGAGGAGGTAGTTGACCACCTGTAACCATGTTAGCCACAAAATCCATTTCTCGTATCGTAGCAACATGAAAACTTACAGCAAAAGCGCTCAACTGGCCCGTCCCACCCTCACTCCACACCGTCAGAATCTGAGGCACCTTACTCGCAACACCCAACACACCAGCCGTCGCCTGAAACAAGCTCAACTTCTCATTATCAACCCACTGGTCATTAAACAGCGCCGCGCCCGCCGCCGCCAACCCGCCAATCCATCCCGCAACACCCACACCCCGTCCACTGTACTTGAGCACCAAACTCGCAATAGCGATATTCTGCACGAGAATAAGCGCCGTCTCGCCATACGTGCTAAACGGGAATCCGTGGCGGACGTTGTACGCAAGGCTAATGAGGTAGGAGCTCGATTCGAGGAGGTAGGACAGGAACGAGAGGCCGTCGGCGGACTGCGAGTTGAGCAGTTTGAGGAGCTGCGGGATCTTGACGATGGAGGAGGCGCCGATGATGCCGATGCCGAGGCCCTTGGAGATGGCGAGTTTGACGCATTCCGTGGCGGTGATGTCGACGTTGTAGATGAGGGTTTTGTAGCATTTGGGGCCGAGGAGCGAGATGCCGACGTCGGCGATGGGTTGGGGCAGGTTGTGCGTTATGGGTTGGATGGCGGATTTGAGGGCGTCCATGGTGGGTGGTGGTGCGCTGCGCGGGCGACTTGTGCGGGTTGTTGGATTGGGCTGAGAGGGGAGGACACTTTGCGGATACGAGGCGTGAGGGTCTGAACTTTTGGCCCGCACGCACGCTGACGCAAGGCTTGGCACGCGTAGGGGTTCGCGTGTTTACAGAGATCTGTGGGAGGGCGCATCGTGTCACATCAGTTTTGCCTGAGCTAATTGCTACATCATACATTACTACTGCCATTACTGCCATTACAACCATTACAATGCTATCCCGCCCTAGCCACGACCGTCGAAATGCGAGAAGAATGCTATGGTATACTACAAAATGGTCCCGTCAAGTAAAAGGTGTCCGAAGACTCGCGACATGGTAAAAGATCAAAGCGACGGTCCGGTATCTACTTAAAACACGTACTGTAGATATGTTAGCGACGATTCAGTCAAGACGCGATATGTTGGACTTACCGGAATGAACAAATAAGGCACCTGCCTCTCATACTCCTTCCATGCCTCGCCGTACTTCTCCCGGCACTTCTCAATGTCTCTCAGCGCCCTGTGGATGATCATACCCGCAAAGAACACCGAGTAGAACCATGGGAACGGGCTGCTGAAGCCGGTAATAAGACCCCAGCTAATTGCGAAGAACAGATCGCACGTGTAGTGAATCTTACGCGCCTTGCCGTACCAGCCGTCAGCCAGAATCTTGTTGCCGTGCGATGTCTGGATGGTCTTGGGGTTGGCGATGCGTCCGTACTTGAAGTAGGGGAAGGTAGTGCGCTCGTCGACAACACCACGCTCCTCTTGACGGAACTGGTTCTTTTGCGAGTTGGTCGTGTCCCAAATGTAGTAAACGCCAAGGTAGGCGAGGGTGAGGAGGGCGGTAAACCAGGTCGGGAGTTGGTATTCGGATGGGTGGTGGTTGGCGATGAACAGGGTGCAGTGGCAGTACGACAGAGGCACACCCGCCATGTTCCAGAAGATGAGCATGAAGCCGAGTTTCTCGTAGTACATGTCCCAGGTTGTGATGATGAGGTGCTCTCCCTTTGCGCAGGCGCCGGCGTAAAGGTAGTGGGCAAAGAGCAGGAAGATGGCTTCTATGGATACGTAGCCATACTGTTCGTACTGCTTCAAGCAGGTACCGAGCGAAAGGAAGAAGAGGATGAACCACGGGATGCGGACCTCGAGGAACATCTTGAAGTCCAGAATGCCGAACAGTCTAGGGTTGAGCTCCGCACCAAGGAAGAAGTCGACAATGGGGTTGTCAGTCATCCGAAGGTCAGCGCCGCGGACGCGAGCTGAGACGTATGCGATTGTCGAGCAGAGGAAGCCTGAAAGGATGGCTACGCTCATGATGTGGCCGAACTCGTCGATCAGGGTGTACAGCTTGAAGACACCAGTGAAGTGGAGGGTCAACATGATGACAATGCTGGAGTAGAAAGACCACATGGCCGAGCAGTAGTAGTCCAACTGCTTTCCACCAAGATGAGGCAGAGCCTTGCCCTTGCGGTACACACCCGGCATGAGCATGTAGAAGGCCATCTGCATGAGTCCAAAGAACCAGTAGATCTGCCACGCTTTGTTGTTCGGGAACGCCTCGGTCTTTACCAGATACCACATGTGTCCAAAGAAGTCGCCGTAGCTCTGGCCCGCGGTCGGTGTAGGGAATTTGCCGTCGTAGAAGGTCGCTCCGATCCACATGTAGTACATGAGCGCTGGAAAGCAGATCATCATGCTGCTCATACCAATGGCGCCTCCGAACTCGTGCAGGCCGGACTTGTCCTTTGGCGAGAAGAACTTTTCCGCCTCCATCTTGTAGTCCAGCTCGACGATCTCCTTTTCGCTCTTTGTGCGCCCGTTTGCGTTTCCATTCGTGTGTCCATTCGTGTAGCCGTTGGCGTGTCCGTTTCCGTTGGCATGGCCATTGCTCTTTTCCTCGACTTCGTGCTTCACATCGCTGTCGCCAGATCGGAGGGGCTTTAAGAAGTTCTCTGGCTCGGGCGTTGATTCGTATCCGTCGTCGACATCGGACGCAAGCGATTTGCGTTGCGACTTCCTGCGCCCGGGGGTCTCGACAAAGCCAGGACGGTCAGGCTTTCTGCGTTATGCATGTCAGCAACTAATGCACACGTCTGCACAGTATGCACGCGCGACCTGGCATTCACTCACTGGGGCGTCTTGCCGGCCTGCGACCGCGTCACTCGCATTGACATGGCTGCTGTAGGTGCGGGTGTGGCGACGCGCTGTTTCAAGGGGTTCAGACTCGAAAAAGATGAAGCCGATTTTTTGGCAAAGATGACAAGATATGAAGTAGAAGAACTGCCGCTGAAAAAGGTACAAATGCCGTCACAGCACGATCATAAAGGCTATGTACACCGCGCGAATCACCAATGGCACAAAAAGCGGCGGTGAAGTCTTTGTGTTTGTTGACAAGTAATATGAATTCGGGGAGTTGCTCAGGGCTAGGGGTAATTTGCGCCAATCGGAGCGCGCAGGGCCCGAGTCCGTGACATCAACATGGGACGCTACTGGTAAATACGCTTTATACGGATGTAATTTTGCAGTGGAGCGCCTGACGTCGCGACGTGAAGTCTGAGAGAGTGACATGACGTCGTAATCTTTGTAAGTACCCCGAATGCTAAATGATGCTAGAAGTTCCCAGGACCAGCATGTGCTTAGCGAAAGTATAAAGTTCGGTACAATGAAATCCACCGCCATCCACCGCTACACCAGTCTTCCTGTGTGGTACTTGCATGTCGTCGTATGGGCCGAGTTGCCCACTCGCCTGACGTTGTTGTAGTTGCAAAGACAGATCCAGCAAAACTCAAAGCGGCATTTCGAGCCTATGAAAGTCAGCAAGCGGTCATCGACGTCTAAAGCAACGCGAAACTCACATGTCATGTGGTCACAGCCATCGTTCTTCTCAATATTCCACGTACATCCAGGACCGGGACACTTCTTGGTCAGTTTCCCGATCGCTTGAAGACTCGCTTCTTCTTGTGCTCTCTGGTCTCGCTCCTTCCGACCGGAAGATCGATATTCAAACTCCTCACAAGTTTCGCCTTCGTGCCATGTGTTCTCGTGGATGATACAGACTTTGTGTCCACATGCTACACATGTAAAGATATTGCCTTCGACACCGCTCATGTGGATCTGACCGGAGTCACACGCTCGACACCATCGGAAGTTGGCTGTGCCATCGTCAGCTTTTGAAATTTAAGAGTGTTGTTGCTACGACTTACGATCTTCGCTGAAAGCTGCTCGGGCGATGAATGTGTCGTATTGCTGGAAGATCTCCGGTTGCGCGTATAGCCGGATCTCATGGTATGACAGCACTGTCTCGCATTTGCTCCCTGGACATTTGGCTTCGCGCCAGCTACTACTTTGGAGCTGCGCGGTTATCCATCCTGAGTAACAGTCCGCACACGTTTCCGGTCGATGATCGCATTCAGCAAGAGAGGGTAGGTCGACAACATGAACGCTATCGCCGCAGACGACGCAATCACGACTCCGCAGATGCGTTCTCTCGTCTACGTAGGTGCTCGTCGCCTGTGGCGTATCGACCGGCCTTGCGTTGTATTGGTGGAAAGGCGATACACCATCAATATCCATAGGCTCTCCATACAGCGCCACATAGTCTTGGATTCGCGCCCTTTCAGGAACAACAACTTTGGGCTCATCGTGTTCGGGGTCTAGATCGATAGGATGCTCTCGAGTGCCGATGTTGGTAATGGCCCGCCGCAAACTGGCCAATCGTCCACTCTTTTGAGACGGTACCCGAGGAGACGCAGCTCGAGGTGCAGATATTTCAGTCCCTTCCGCAATGCGCGACGCTGTGGTTCGATAGGTCGCATCCTCTTCCCGTTGTAGATGCTCAGCCAACAGACGGTCTTGCTCTTCTTGAGCTGCGTAATCTGTATCTCCCCGCGGAGACCCCCGCCCGCGTGTACATCTAGTACCTCGGATTGGCTTCTGGTTCTCGATTTGCGCAACACGAGCTGCAAGGTCAAACTCCGAACTCTCTGAGCTGTCCGAGCTATCGGGTGTTAGCATATCTTCAGAGCCACTGCTCGATGAATCAGGACTTTGACATCGATGGTCAGGCCTCTTTCGTAGAAACCTTGCCTTCCGAGTTCGTCGTCGATTCAGCGACTGTCGTGATAATCCTCCTGACTGGAAGAAATTTGTGTTTTCGAAATTGCCTCCAGGGCGGTTCGAGCCTGCAGTCGCATCAAGTTCACTGTCATCGTCGATCATTATGGGTTCGCTATGTGTCTGGCCCTGACGAGGGCGGTTCACACCCGGCTGTGTCGTTTGTGAACGCGGCTCCTCTCGAAAGCTCGGCAAGATGGGATTCGAGACCGCCATTCTGTTCCATGCTGCTTTGGCAGCTACGGTCTTGGTTGAGGTGGAAGATTGGAGGGGAAGTGAGAAGTTTGTTGCACTACTAGACGTTGACAAGTCGGGAGGTGCGAGTGGCACGTTCGGCAGTCGCAGCTTCCCCCACTGCTCGGTGAGTGCGTCTCTCACTGTCAATTGTGGAGGTTCCTTCCTATGTATCCGGGGCACGTCGCCTTGTTCATCCGACTGTAAAGGATCGTATGAAGATGGTTGCGCGGAGATTGGGTATACAAGATGTGGCTCGGGAAGCACAAGCGAAGCGATGCTGAGACTTCTTGCAGGCTGGACAACTTCGCTTTGTTGTGTTTGTGGACGAGTCTTCAGAAGCGATCGTGGGGCGGGCTGTGACGTAATCCGGCGCGTGCGCACGTGGTCAGCCATATGTGGTTCTCGCGCGCAAGACACTGGCAGTGCAACTTGAGGATGACTGGCATTAGGCGTGACGGAAGATGACTCGGTTATCGACTGCTTGGGTCTCCCTTTCTTTGGCTTGAACTTGTGAGAAAGACGTTTCCCGAACGCGAGCTTCGATGGTCGATCCGGCAGGTAAGTCTGAGAGAATCTGGATGATGTGTTAAGACTTGATTGTAAACATGCAACATTTCGAGCAAGGTTGTATCGCACTCACTCTGCCATGGTTGTGGTTGCTGTATCTACGCAGAGTCCAAAGCTGGCTCAGCCCTGCAGACGGTTACCTAGGTAGGCTGTGCGCGAAGCACATGTGTAACAGTCTCTTCCGGCCTCCGTATGGTTGAGAAACTGCAATGGGTTGAGGAGAGTTCACGCAAAGTTGAAGGTGCAATATCTGAGAGCGTCAAGGAGTGTGATGAAAGCTGAAACTCAAGGGCTGTGTGCGAGAAAGCTCACGAGGCTGGGCTTCGTGTGGCTAGAGATATTTAGGGTCCAATGTGCAAGGCCCAAAGGACCGAAGATTCATTGGAAGGCTTGAATTCAATGATCTCTCCGGTGGTAGTATGCAGCCACTCGCATCTGTACCACGCTTGCCGACCAATTATTAACCAGGGCGCTACCCAACCACTGGTCAACCCACCCAGAAGATAGACCACGATTGCTCAGCCTACTTGCATCCGAAAGCTCTTAAACCTTCCGGGCAGGCTTCACGGTGCCAACACATACTCCAAACCCGACACCAGTGCTTCCATCTCCAACAACCCCTGTGTAACGCACCTCGTCCCCATCATTGAGGTAGCGTAGCTCAGATCCATCGCTCAGTTTGCTTGGAGCCTTGCCGTTCTTAGTCAGTTCGAGCAAACATCCATGTTCATGTTCTTGTTCGCCCGACACTGTCCCGCTAGCTACCAGATCTCCCGTGCGGAGTCCACAGCCGCCGATAGTGTGGTGCGCTAACATATGCCTGAAGGTCCAGTACATCGTCTCGAAGCCAACCTTGCAGGTCGTAGTCTGAGTACCGTTTCGGATGATCTGACCTTCGAGCTGGATGTTGTAGTTGATGCTGTTGGGGTCGTCCATGAAGGAAGCTACAGGCTCCATGCGAGGCGGGGCCGAGACCTCGTGGGGCTTCAATGCTTCTAGCGTAACGACCCAAGGGGTGATTGAAGTCATGAAATTCTTTCCGTTGAAAGGCCCCAGCGGGTTCATCTCTAAGCCTTGAATATCTCTCGCGCTCCAATCGTTCAGCAGAACTAGTCCGAAGATATGGTCATCCGCGTCCTTTGCGTTCAGATACGTTCCAGCTTGAACGGGTTTGCCGATGACTGCCGCGATTTCCATCTCGTAGTCCAAGCCCCGTGACGGGCTAAATATGATCTTTTTCTCCGGAACGGTGTAGTCCTCGATGAACTGACCCAGAGGTCTTGTAACGGATGCCCCTGAGACTGTGATTGAACTTGACCGGCCTGCGTAGCCCACGGGGTATTTCATGAAAGCAGGTGGGTAGGCACGAACTCCTTGCACCGCTTCTCCCGCATTCAGAACATGGTTCGCTGAAGCGCTGTAGTCTGTGAAGTCTCCGACACTGACTGGCATATGGAGCGTAACATCGCTGATGTTCTCTGAACAATTGGCGTGTGACTTGCTCTTGTATGCTTCTTGTATCGCAGAGCGTACTTGACTCTGTATGTCTTTTCCCAGCGCGGCAAATGTGTTCAACGTGGATTCGCGGAAGATGGAGGATAGCGGTGCTGAGATGGCTTTGAGGGAGTCATGCTCCGCGAGCTCCGCCAGGAAGATGACCTCGTCACCGATGCGTGTGGCACACTGTGGTGCAGAGCGCTTTGACGAGCTTGCGATACCGTATGGGATGTTGTTGACACCGAAGTGCGATGCGTAATTGTCTGCCATTGAGTCGTGAGTCTTAGGTATTCTGGTGTCAAGATTTCGGTCGACTTGTTAGCAAAGAGCGATACACGATATCCAACTCGCAATACTCAGATTCCAGACTACAGTTACCAACATTAACCCGAACCTAAGCTCGCGAGACGTTGTGTAGGTGGGGATTACCATCTCGGATACAGCTCCTCCACATCCCATCACCTTACTCCTGTAAGCTAATATGTCCGGAGCTGAACACGGCAATGGTCGAGAGTGGAGACTGAGCGTTCCATGGTTACCCGGCTGGCGTTGATGCAGCTATTGATCGCGTCCAGTCCAAACTTCGCGGGACAACCTTCAACCGACGGCCGTACGCGTTCGGTCTAGCACGGAAGTAGGCAAGCGCGTCCGTCAATCGATAAGCAGGACACGCGTCATCTTCGCTCCCAAGCAGTGCAGCCTGTGTTGCTTGCTTACACCTGACTCCAAATCGAAGATTTTCGTACATCCCCATCTAACAACTCTATTCAAAACAGTTGGGGAAGCTTGCGTACTGTGCAGAACCCCGCACGGGATATACCGAGCCTAGGCCGGCAGATGGCGGATGCAGGGTCTCTGCCCTCCACATCGGGATCCTGTATATGAGTTCACTAGACGGGTTCAGCGCGACGCGTTTGAGATGTTCATGATCATCAGGTCTTGAATCTTCTTTCAAATCACACGAAGTGTCTGTATTCTTACACTACAATCCGAGAATCTTGACGCTCAGTCACCTCTCTATACCCCCAGATCACCTCCAAAAATGGCCTCCAAACCCCAAATCGCCAATGACCTTCCCAAGGTTAACCGCTTCATCACAACCCACGATCCCACCACCAAGAAAGCCATATTCTCCGACGCAGTCCCAGAAGAAGCCAAAGTCGACCACATTCCAAATGCCGACTTCCGACTTGGATACGTTACCAAGGGATTTCCCGTCGATCTGAACAAAGACGCCGACCTCGCGGTTTACAAGCCTTACCTTGAGTCATCTCCAGGTCTGGTCGTTGGAGGAGGAACAGTGCTACGCTTTGTAGACGTAGCACCTGGTCATCTTTCACCTATGCATCGCACAGTCTCTCTTGACTACGGTGTCGTGCTGGAAGGTGAGATGGAGTTGGTGCTGGATTCGGGAGAGACAAGGTTGATGAAAAGGGGAGATGTTGCAATTCAGAGAGGCACAATGCACGCTTGGAGAAACACCAGCACCACATCTTGGGGACGCATGATGTATGTTCTACAAGAATGTAAACCAGTAGAGGTCGGTGGTGAGGCCCTGAAGGAGGACTACGGAAACATGCAGGGTGTTCCAGCATCGTCGTAGACGCAGTACTACTTGCAGTTACACAAAGCCATCGCATCGTCGCGCATATACATCATCTTGCTCTGAGCCATGTTGTGTCAAATGTAGCTTCAGCCAAATTTCCTGACATCGCGAGTGCGGCATACGACTGTCCTTGATGGCCTAAGTTGTAATGGCATTGCTAGTACAGAGAGCGACAGCTCGCCTGACGTCGGTTGATCAATTGTCCCGAGGTACCCAAAAGTAAAGAGCTCGTACGAGTTCAGACTAGGTGCCAGATGTTCGGTCTGTAAGAAGGCGTGTTCCATCTGTTCGCGTGTCTGTGGGTGAAGCGCCAATTGGAAGGTGGCACCTCCACATTCCGAAATGTGCCCCTCGAACACTGCCGCCGCACCTTACCAGCGGCGCGTTGTCGGCACAAGCATCCACTACGCGTCGCAATATGATGTATATATCCAAATGCTGGATCAAGTATGTTTCTTCCTTCCCAAGTACCAAATACACAAAATGTCTGACCAGCTAGAATTCAAAGATGCTTACTCGATTGACGAGTCGTCGTTTCCCTACCTGTACGAGCAGAATGTCGCAGTGCCGCTGAAGACATCCTCAAAAGGCATCATTCGATGCAACGTGTACCGGCCGAAGTCCACGAAAGAGGGCACGAAGCTTCCTGTGCTGGTGACGTACGGACCGTATGGAAAGGACATCCACTACAAGGAGTAAGTCAAAACGGAGGTTCTCAGCCGTGCAGCAGCTAACACCACCAGCTTTCACGGAAAGTCGTTCGCCGAAGTCAACCCCGAACATCACTCTGATCACTCAGCATGGGAGACGCCAGACCCAGGTTTCTGGACGAAGCATGACTACATCATCGTGCGCGCCGACGAACGTGGCTTGGGCCAGTCTCCCGGCTTCTTGGACACCATGTCGCGAGGAACAAGCGAGGCTTTCTTCGATGTTGTCGAGTGGGCGGCTGAGCAGCCATGGTCGTCTGGAAAGGTTGGCCTACTCGGTATCAGCTACTATGCTGGATCCCAGTGGCGTGTGGCAGCGCGCAAGCCCAAGGGACTCGCTGCAGTCATTCCATGGGAGGGCATGAGCGATTACTACCGTGATCGATGCCGCCATGGAGGTATTTTGAGCAACAAGTTCATTGACTTCTGGTGGTGAGTATCTCTCACAATCTGCTGAATTTCGGATGCTAACTTGGCTTTCACCAGGAATCGCCAGGTCATCACGAACCAATATGGTCGCCCAGGTCGTGCCGAGCGCAATTGGGGACCGGACACCGTCGATGGTAACCTCTCGGAAGAAGTGCGCGCAAAGAACCGACAAGACCAGACGATCGATACCGCCGCATTCAAGTACCGCGACGAATTATACTATGCAAGCAAAGAGTACGACATGAGCGACATCGAAGTACCGCTGCTCTCAGTCGGCAACTGGGGCGGCATTCTGCTCCATCTCCGCGGAAACATCGAAGGCTACGCACACGCGGGTTCTGAGTTCAAGTACCTACGGATGATCACGGGAAGGCACGATTTGCCATTCTACTACAAGGAGGAAGTGGAGATACAACGAAGCTTCCTCGATGCTTTCCTCAAAGGCGATGACAGAGTTGGATGGTCTGTCAAGGGCAAGCTTCCTCCCGTTGACATGGTCCTGCGCAAAGGCGACATTGGCTTCAATGACGCCGAGAAGGAAAAGGTGTACGAGAGACGAACGGAGAAAGAGTGGCCCATTGCACGAACACGTTACTCGAAGTTCTACCTTACGCCATCTCAGACTCTTACGCAAGTCCAGCCCATCACCAACAGGCCACAGAAGCTGTCGTACGAGGCGCTTGGCACCCTCGACAACCCCAAGCTTCTCCAATTCACCACTGCACCATTCGAGGAGGAGACTGAGATTACCGGACATATCGTCGCACACCTGAACGTCTCCCTCTCAGCGCACTCCAACGGTGTAACGCCATCCGACATCGACCTCTTCCTCACACTACGCTACATTTCGCCAGGAGGCAAAGAAGTCTACTACACCGGCACAGCAGGCGATCCCATTCCCCTCGCCAAGGGCTGGCTGCGCGTCAGCTTCCGCAAGACCAACCCAGAGCACCCCAAGCACCGCGAATACCTCCCATGGAGAGATTACTTCAGCACCGACGTCCAGCCCGTCATACCCGGCGACGTATACGCCGTGGATGTGGAGGTTTGGCCAACCAACGTCATCGTTGAAAAGGGTGGCAAGATCGTGTTCGAGATTAGCAGCGGTGATACACAAGGTAGTGGTATCTTCCAACACAATCATCCTGAGGACAGGAGCGAGGAGAAGTTTGCGGGATGGAATCATTTGCACTTTAGCGAGAAGGCTGTGAACTATGTCACTCTGCCGATTGTACCGCCTAAATAGATCAGTAAATATGTTGTTGGAATGAAAGTTCAAATCTCGTTACATGAACTTGTCTCTACCGTTACCGCAATATCATGTGTTCGTCCTACGTCGCATAAGCATAAACATACGCGGAACACCAACGATGAGGAACAGCGTTGATTCAAGTCTTCAAGCATGACAGTAGGTGGAATCGCAAATTCGTTGGGAGTGACGATGTTGTGTGACGGTCATAAATGCGACAAGAAGTGAATTGGATATATATAGTACTCAAAATTTCTACTCCCATCTTCCGACAGTAAACTGGCTGTTGCACATGTTCACCAACTCCCAATCCTCAGCCCCAAGCACACACTCGTCGCCATCCCTCTTGCTTCCGTCAACAACCCCAGCCACAAAGCACGCCGCCATATAGTGATCGTCGGTGGCATGCGCATCCCTGAACATGGGATGTTTCATCAACCTTGTAATACCACGAGTCAGACTACCCTTCTTCGCATCCTTCCTACAGCAGCGAACAAAGACGTCTTCGACACTCTGGCGGAACTCCAGCATCGGGGCCTCTGGTGGGTAAGGCTGGGCAAAGTTGTCCGAGTATCTCAACATCTGTGCCCAGTGATTTCTGTATAGGTTGTGTACCGCGCCACCCGTCCCGATGATCAGGTAGCCCTCGTCGCGGAACTTGGCCAAGATGTTACCCACACGCGCGTGCAGATGTGGGTCGAATCGCGAGTTCATACTGATGATCGTTGTTGGAGGGCATTTTTCAGGAAACATCCTAATGAGAATCAAGTACGTGTCGTGGATCCAGTCAAAGGTCTCATTCGGTCGCGCATCGATGCCCTTTTCTCTCAGCGCTGCTATGCACTTCTTTCCGCTCTCGAGATCGGGGACGAGCTCGTAGTCTTTGTATTTGCGGGGGTGGACGTATGCGACGGGGGATTTGATGGGCTTGGGGTTCATGGCTACGTCGATGCGGTTTACGCCGCGGGCGTCCCAATGCGCGCCCATCATAATCACGCCTTTAAAGCCGTGGGAGAGGGCCTCGTCGCCGCAGGCTTTCCAGTAGGTGGCGGATTGGGACTCCTCGCCCAGCATCATTGTTGAGCCATGGGAGAAGAAATGGACGGGTGGCGCCATTGCGGTGTGTTGTTTCAGCCGTAGACTGAGTTGGAAGGGATGACCAAGATAGTAGATGATCAGGTTAGATGTCCGTGTCGTGAGGTTGTGGCGGACTTGTCGCGATATTGATATTACACGGCCAAATTGGCAAACGTCGTGTCCAACACGCGGCTTCACTGGAAGCTTTACCCATTATGATCAGCGCTGTATAGGCAGTCCCAGGTGCTTACGGCGGCAAAAGTCGTGATGTGGGGAGGGTTGGAGGAGCGGCCGAGCGTCTAGCCGAGGGGAAGAAGGCACGCCCGTGTCCTGTCGATCTCCGCATTCCTCTCCACCCACAACCTTATCTCCAGCTTCCCTCCACTTTCCTCTGTCCCTCCGTCCCGATGCCATCGTTCTTCGAAGCCACCCGATAGCACCTCAGCATGCAGACTGCCCCGACATCAGCAAATGTCCAGCTAGCCAGTGCAGAAGCCGAACCACCACGCCTATTCCAGTGTAGCACCTGCAAACGGTCCTTTACGAGAGCGGATCACCTTACGAGGCACGTGAGGGCGCGTAAGTGCTTTTAGAATTAGTGAACAATGTGGTCCGTCAGCCGTGTGCCTGACTACTTGCAATTGAAGCTAGTTGGCCGTCATAATGGCGTCAGACGCGTTCGCGTTGTTGACTCGCGCCGAAAGAACTGCTTTTTCGCGTCTGAGCATCTTGTTCGCATATGATGTTCATTATGTCCCATTCGCCATGCTAACCCAGCACTGACAGATACAAAATCTAAGCCTTACATCTGCCCCGTGTGTTCTAAAGGCTTTGCGCGAATGTGAGTGCTTCATTGCATCCAAAAAGTTATACTATGCTGACATGTCACAGAGATCTACTCAAGAGACATGTAACAAATCACGACACAGAGCCTGCAAGCAAGCGACAAAAGCGCGAAATCGCTCGCGATACCAGGGTCGTTCAGGCCTGCGAAGCTTGCTCCCAAAGCCATCTCCGCTGCGAAGACGAGAAGCCATGCAGTCGATGCAAGAAGAAGAAGATACCCTGCCGGGTACCTGAAGTCCCGGTTACAGACGAAAACGACATACATGAGATTGATGCAGTTCATGCGGCGCAGGATCTGCTCGATTTGTCGAATGGCTTCGATTACCCCTCATCGCTGCCGGCTCACGGCGGCAGCGTCAATACATCTGCATCTACGACATCAGAGACTCCAGAACCTTTTCACAACCACGCGACCCTAGTCGTTACCGACTCGAATACAATGCACCGACACTCCGTAGCTTCAGGCGACCTCGAGACAAGGACAGCAGGTATGGGCGACATGCAGCCGCCACCGCCCAACAACGGCGGCGGCCTTGTCGCGATGAACCAGAACTACGAAGACCCGAGCGCATCTATGCCTTTCTTCGATAATTCGATTGCGCACTTTGACAACACGCCAGGGCACAATCCCTTCTTGCCAGACTATTTCCGCAGTATGCCCCCATTTGAAGCGTTCCTGTCCGGCCAGGCAACTCCCCGGGGTATCATGGACCTCAGTTTCGATCTAGATGTTGGCTTGACCGACCTTGATCTCGGTCTCCTTGATCAATACAACTTCCAGGTCCCGTTCGCTGCTGATACACCATCCACGGACGCCCATGGCGCTGAACAACCCGTACCCGAGACTGATACGGCTCCTGTAAGGGCGGAAGCATTCAAGCAGAGCATCTGGCGTTATCTCCCCCAACGGTCCAGAAACCCCACTGCGGAACAAGTCAACTTGGCTGTCCCGGACACAGAAAAGGACGGTTATAGACGTTCCAACTTCACACACCGCCGCGTCGTGGCAGAGAAGTAAGTCAAGATCAGCGATTAAGGCGTACAATCAATATATACTGACTTCAATTCTAGACTACCACGTGCCAGCCGCGACCGGCTGATGGCTTTGGTTCTCGACACCTGTAGCCGAGAGAACGTCAAACGTATCGCATCGGCATTTCCTAGTATGGAACTACTCGACGGCCTGATCCAGTATTTCCTCTCTTCGCCATCGATAGACGCGCCAACGTGGTTTCACCTTCCTACTTTTTCACCCTCGAAGTTGAATCCGGAGTTGCTTGCTTCTGTCGTGTCTGCTGGAGCGGCCACTCTTCCTGACATATCCTTGCGAAAGCTGGGCTACGCTCTTCATGAGGCTTCCAGGTTAGGGCAGTCCAAATCATTCGAAGAGGACAACACAGCTATCAGGGATCTTCAACACCTGCAGACGTTCCTGCTGCAACTCAAAGTTGGTATGTGGAGTGGCATCAGCCGGAAGATGGAGATTGCAGAGAGCTTTCTCCAGCCGCTGATGACGATGCTTCGCCGTGGTGGCCGCTTTCGTCGTTCGACTTGGAAGGAGATCAGTCCGTCTCCTGACGATCAGGGCTCTGTTTTGGAAGACAAATGGCTGAGTTGGGTCAACCAAGAGTCCTTTCTTCGCTTGGTTCATCGCGCCTTCGAATTCGATCGGCAGTCGTCGATGGCATTGCTTAAGCCACCACTGCTTTCCTACGCGGAGATGCAATTACCCTTGCCGAGTCCGAGCTCATTATGGCAGGCCAAATCCGCTGCAAACTGGAAAATGGCGTATCTGAATGACGCATCGGCAACTGCGAAGCGACCATCAGCGACCGAATGCCTACTTGATCTGGAGCACCTCACTCAACACGACTATGCCAGTTCGACTTATCTGTACCTGATGTGGGGTCCAATATGGGAATATCGTCAGATGTGCGCCTTGACATCTAGGTCACAGTCGCTGTCAACCAACAGCCTCATTCTGTCGTCGCGCTACCAAGAGCTCACAAAGCAGCTGGAAGATTTCAGGCTCAGCACACCCCCCATGACTAAGAGCGTTGAGATAACACTGGAGATGTTGCTAGTTCATCTCAATGCACCTCTCGATGACATTCAGCTATTTGCGGGTATCGAAGGGCAAGAAGAAGCACGCAGCGCGTACCCCGGCCTTCGAGACTGGGCAAAGACTCCCTCAGCGCGTCAAGCGCTATGGCACGCTGGTCAGATCTTGCGCGCCGCTGAGGTGCTACCAAAAGCTCTGCTCAGTAACTTCAACGCCATTGCGGTGTATCATGCGGGGCTCATACTATGGGTTTACGGCTTTCTCAGACGATCCGTAACAACAGAACAGATCGACACGGCTGTTGTGCTCAACGGGGACGACTCGTTGAGCGCCCGCAAGTTCATCACTCTAGATCGTGGTATTCCAGCGATCAAAAATTCCGGATCACAACATCCCACCCATTTGAGCGATGTTTGTGGAGTCATGGACGGCTTGACACAACTGCTTCGAGCGCATCATGACGCATCAGAACCTTCTCCGCCGCTGGTCGGTAACCTGGTGCAATTGCTGGAAGGCCTGCGATCTGCCATCAAATGAGCAAGTCAGTATGTATAATGGTAATTTGGACTCGCGCATGTACGACTATATGTAAGATTTCATGAAGCGCCGGCGCATTGGTATACTTCATCAACATGTGGTAATAATCATACCTCATCTATGAGATGTTCGTTTTAATTCAACGCCCGAGAGCCAGCCCATGCGGATGGATGAATCCCGCTTCAAGCCTGTGAATAGCGACCAAGACCCTCAATTCTTGGTGCCGACCTCGAGCCCAGCGCTCTGGATGGTTCTTACGCACGTAAATGCGCAATGCTTGCTCATCACGCCAAGGCAATACTGTCACAGTACACATGCAGCAAAGCCGCGCACGTTCCCCACCCGTTCTCCACATGCCAATGCATCTCGCTGCATCCTTCCACCGCACAGCCGGAAAAGGTCAGATCCAAGGATTCCAAACTCGATCTCGCGCCGTCATGTTAGCTTCTCCCTTGCACAATCCGCTGCAACTAGCTTTCTCCAGATGCAAACCCCGCAAATCTTGGCCGTATCCAGATGGTCTTGGTCGCCTCCACATTCCGAGTTACCCCAGACTGGGGATGCGACGGAGTCCAAGCGTCCAATGGGAGTGTTGTGAGGCGCTATGAAGCCTGTCTGATTTGCCGACGGCGAGATGCCAGGCGTAACACACCGACGTGCCTTGCAAAGGCGTGTTGTTCAACGGTTCGACCGTGCGGTCTATTTAGATTGGAGGACTATGGCCACAGACAGCTTTGTTGTTGGATACCGCTGATCGTTGGCATCGCATAATCATCTCCGCGATTTTCTTACTCGGCTTGAATCATTAGATTGTTACTAATTCATCGCGATGACTTCTCTAAAGCAGGCGTTCAGCATCTCGAAAGAGGAGGTGAAGAATGCCCGACCGCCAGGAACCGCAACGCTCGTTGGTAAGATATCACCAACTCCCCTGGACGTCTTTCTTGCTAATAAAGCTGCCATCAGAACATCTCGAATGGACAGCGTCGCAAACAAATCACGATGAGATCCGTCTCGTGCCTCAGCCATCCGCCGACCCAGCGGATCCTCTCAATTTGCCCATGTGGCGCAAGATCGCAGTTCTGGCCGTCATGTCGATACATCCGTTCGTTGTGAACTTCACCAGTGCCTCCATCTCGAGTGCATTGCCCATCTACGCGTCCACGGGCGTGTTTGGCTTCCCGCCAAAGACGTTCTCGCAGTTGACGTACTTCATCGCGTGCAACATTCTCATGCTGGGCGCGTCGAACCTGTGGTGGGTGCCGCTGGCGAACACCTTTGGTCGCCGCCCGGTTGTTCTGGGTAGCTTGTTGCTCCTGATTTTCTCGAGTATGTGGGCTGGTCTTGCGACTAGCTTCAACAGTCTGGTGGCTGCGAGGATCTTCATGGGTATCGGGGGTGGGCCGGCTGATGCTGTGAGCCCAGATGTTGTTGGTGAGATCTTCTTTGTTCACCAGCGTGGACGTGCTTTGGTAAGTCTTCTTTTCCACATCCTTCGAGTGAATTGGCACTGACGGAACGTCAACAGGCCATATACACGGTCATGTTGTCTTTTGGCTCCCTCGTAGGGGCTGTCGCGGGTGGCTACATTGTCGCCGACATGGGTCTTTCCTGGCTCCATTGGATGAACGTGCTCCTTTCCGCCATCACATTCGTCCTCTGCCTCTTCTTCCAAGCCGAAACCCTCTACGACCGCAAATCCACCACTGTCACCTTCTCCGACGATCCCGACAAGCAAACCGTTGAAACCAAAGAGCGAGTCGTCGTCGCAGATGCCGCTTCCCCGTCTTCTTACCCGTCTTACTCATACGCTAAGTCTCTTCGACTCTGGTCCTACCGCCCTGGTCTCGTGCGAAACTTCCTCGCCCCATACAAGACCCTCCGACTGCCAGGTGTGTGGCTAGTATCAGGGTGGTACGCCGGACTCGTCGGTCTCATCGTCACCATGTCGAGTGTAGGACCTCAACTCGTTGCCGCGCCGCCTTATCTGTGGGGAAAGAACGTCGGACTCATCAACATTGGCGGGATCTTCGGCGCTCTTCTCGGATGTGTAAGTCCCTACAATCCTACCATCAGGGTTAACGTTTACTGATACATATTTCCAGATCTACACCTACCTCATCGCCGACTTCGCAACCAAGCGTCTCGCAAAGAAAGATCTCCACGGCTTCTCGGAACCTGAGTCTCGTCTTGTCACCGCACTGCCCGCTCTCGCCCTCGCCACAATCGGCGCTCTGATCTTCGGCTTCGTAGCGCAGAACCCCTCGCCTACAGGCTGGGTCGGTCTCCAATTCGGATTCGGACTCGTCGCTCTCGGGCTCATGCAAGCGCCCTCTGTTGGTTTCAACTACCTCATCGAATCCTACGGGGTGCTTGCTGGAGACTGCTTCGTTGCTGTAACGTGTGTGCGGGCTATCATTAGCTTTGCGTGGACGTTCTTTGTCGGCGAGTGGGTTACGCATCAGGGTGCCGCTGAGCCCTTTGGCATCTTCGGTATGCTGATGGGTGTGTTTGGGTTGTTGACGATCCCCATGTTGATCTGGGGGAAGCGGTTGAGGATCTGGACTGCTAAGTGGGTTCCTGAGGGTGCGGGTTTGTAGTGAGAGATGCGGACCTGGGGTAATCACTGCTGAGTAGCTCCGTTAGTGCTCACTGTATTCCGTAGCGTACAATCTCGGATTAACGTCTTCATTGAGCGTGTCTTCTCTGATTTTCCTCGTGGTGTCCAAGTGCGCCGTAATTCTAGCTCTTTCTCCTAAATCTGCCGCCCGTAGTCTTGATGACTAGTGAGCATCGCGCTGCCATCTTCATGATTAACGCATCACGACAATCACCCAACACGGTAACCTAGCTCTCTGTAAGAATGCGCAATACCATTCAAGCTATGTTACACCCCACCCTCAAACAAACGCCCACCTCCTCAAGCCCGCCCGCACACCAAAGAAAAGCGCCGAGCCAATACATGTCAGAATAGGAATACCATAGACACCCAAACCAATGAAGATACCCTGCTCAAAGTAGCCAATCGCGATTGACTCAGCACGCTTCTTCTCTTTAATCTCCTGCGTCGCTTTGCTAAGAAGCTCTGCCGCGGCCTTTTTCGAGTCCTTACCCGAAAGGACCTTTGACATTGTCGCTTGCGAAGCAGGTGCTGCGATGTACGCAGGCGAGATACGAGTGAAGTGCTGGGCTGTGTATCGCTTCTCCACATCGACGGGCTGGAAAGACGGAGCAGCCGGGCCGAGAAGCAGACGGAAGGGGATGTTGTTCGTGAACGACGCGTCGGCGTTGACGAACTGTGAGAGATACTTGCCTGTGGACGGTGTACCGAAGTGGTATGCAGCTAGCAGACTTTGCTGGGGGCCTAGGTCGTCCTCGACGAGGCTGATGGCATGTTCCAAAGATGTGATTGCTGAGAC